AATTAAATATTAAATTTATACGTTTAAAGCCGTTAAAAGTGTTTTATTTAAGACCCACATACTCAATTATTGTCTGTAATTTATGCGAGTAGATTTAAATAAAACACTTTAACTGTTTAAATCGCGATTTATATTAGTTGAACTTATTTGAAAATTATCTTGACGTTTCGGATGCTTTGCAGCAGCCGCGGTCACGGGGAGACTAAAGATGGAAGATTAACTAATATATATCGCGTTTTAAACCGTTAAAGTGTTTTATTTAAACTTTGCTCCCAGTTTTTGATTATTAATCAATCCACGTACCAATGTTTATATGACACGCTTTTTATGATGCAATTAAATTATACAATTAATCGTCGATCGTTACATTATCGGCGAGGATAATTATCTTAATAGTAGTAGCGTGTTAAGGAATTATTTTCATACTAATTCGTTCGCTACTGGCTTGTTCCTATTCCCCTCGTAAAGAAAGCGAGAAGAATCTATTTTTTCACGCCTTTATCGTGTTACGTCTGTACAAAACTACTGTACAGCAATTAATTTATCATTTTCTATTTAATAGACTAGACTCTACTTATGGTTATAAAATTGAAGACAAGTGAAGTTTCATTAATAGTATTTTATTTAAACTATGTAAATTTCAAAATTGTGATTTAGAATTTATGACGACTCGTTGATTGTCCTAAATTAATAAATTATGATCTACGTTTACAATTAACGGTATTAAATAGATAAAAATCAATCACCAAGGATATAAATATGATGAAAGAAACACGTTTCGATTCGAACTACAAAAAAACCGGACATAATTGGCTATACATTATTTTAATTCAGGTATTAATAACCTGTGGTTTGAATTCAATTAGCACTTATTCCTACCGTGGTGGCGAGATAACTTAATTTGAAAGTATTATAAGACTCTACCTTTAACAAAAATATTTTATACTTTGTGATGTTTAAGATGTTTTAAAAGGTTTGAAACACATAGTGTGAAGGCGATATGAACAAATAAATATGATATCTATGGAGGTTCAAATAAAACACTTTAACGGATTAAAACGCGATATATTAGTTAAACTTATTTGAAAATAATTTTTAACTTCGGCCCGACGTTTCGGATGCTTTGCAGCAGCCGTGGTCTCGGGGAGACACCCGTTAAAGTGTTTTATTTAAATGTGTACTACTCGCGTAAACTATAGACAGTATTTAATCTATGGAGGTTTTAAATTTAATTTGTTTTTCGTATATTAAAGTGTTTTAATGTAAAGGTTTGTTACTCCTGCCTCATGAGACTGCACGAGCTGCCGAACTACTTTTTACACGGCATGTAAATACGTGAGAGATTTCGTCGGCGCTTCCCGTTAACTCTTTGATAGTTTTATTTCATAACGGTATGTTAAAATAAATTGTAGGTTTGATTACTCACGTCAAAGCCCAATTAAGCTTCAGGTGGGAGCTTTATATAGTAGTTTTTTATCTTTTGCGTCATATATTGACCTACTTATTATAACTGTTGAGACAAGTTGTCTAATGGGCTAATATTAGCACGCTAAAATGTATTAGCATCGGATTTTTATTTCAAAATTCCATAAAGTTTATGTATTTTAAAAGAATCGACATTCAAATAAGTAATTGACTTTGATGGACGTCTGATATTTGATCAGCTGTTATTAAGTTTCAACAATTAACAGGTGGTTAATTCTAGCGGTGTCAGTGACTAATACTTGTTTTATTTTAGATATTGATATATTTCATAAAATATTCTTTTGTTCAAATTCAAAACTGTATTTTATAACATGATCTGTATGATTTTTGGCGTTGTCTGAATTATTAAAACTATCAACTTTATAAACTTGATTAATTATAAATAGGGGTTTTAACTTCTGTATTTTAATTATATCAATACCTATTGCATATTAGCGTGGGAAATTTGAAATAGTTTTATCATTATAATTATTTTCGAGCCAGTAAGTTCGTAACTCATTTGTCATATTACACATAGATTATAACCTTATATAAATATAAACGAAATCGTTTTTTGAATATGTCGTATGTTTAATTAATTGTTTTTGATAGAGATTATAAATACCTTTTTTCCTTTTGGGCATCACTCTAACACCGAACGCTTGTTCAGTCACTAGGCACAAAGACAGAGTCAACAAACAGTACTTAACACTGCACCCCATTTTTCACAAGGTCTCTCTATACTTTACGATTACTATGAAGGCACTGCGCGTAAATGCAACATGAACGGGGTTTACAGCCAACGGCTAAACAGAACCGATGCTCGCCAAACGACACCCGATTGTGGAGTGAACCGCCCGGCAACCCTAATTTTTGACTTGTACCAATTTGGCAGTGCAAATTCGACTTGTATATAAAACCTTTCGCCGGCTGGGGCGGGCGGCCATTGGTCGCGCCAGCGGCTGTGCGAGAAGGTGAAGGGACCTGGTGGTGGTACCCCCACGCGACCGGTAGCGGGGAGAGCGTCAGGGTCGACAGACACTTTTGCTATCGTTTGCTATCACGGCCTGTACCGTTGTGCCCTGCTTACGTCACAGCTTATCAACGTTCTCGTGAATTAATCTTATTTTTAAGGTCGTTCAGGATTGGTATGGAATTAGGAAATGGCTGATAAATTTTTATTGTTTCTAATAGCGACAATTACCTAGGTTTTTTAGCTCTACACGGAATAACTATTTCATTGTTCTGCAGTAACACAAATAAAGGTAATTAATTAAAAACGTGATAGATTTAAAGAAGTATTACAAGATCAAGCAAGAACAGTTTAAATAATCAATTTCCCTATTTGTCTTATTTGTTTTATTAAGACGATGCAACATAGTAGAACTATATACGCGATAGATAATATAAATCTCGTTTTAAACCGTTGAATTATTTTCTTTATACCATACAACATATAATCTACACTTTCACATGTTTTCTGTAAGCAAAAACTCTTAGTTTAATAAATATTTATTTAGTTTAAAAACGAGAGCCGTTAATTAGTTTAAAAGGAAATTAAAATGCACCAGTGTTACGAAATTCGGTGAGTGCAATCTGAAAATATAATTAAAATTAGGTTGAAAATAATTAAATATTTCTCAAGTGCAACCGTAACTAAGTACCTACCTACTCGTTTAAAACCAGAATTTCTCGCCGTTTCATAACAAGTTTAAAAATTATAAAATTTATTTTCGAAGGCGGCTAAAGACTAAAAATTCGCAAGCAACGCATAAACGGGACGGAAATAAGAGCAGCGGTTACGTCACATATGGAAGCCGTATGAAGATGCGTGAGCCACTTACACGATACGAGTCCGACACGATTTTCAATTAAAAATATTATCTTTAACTGTAAAAAGTTAACTGACCTTCACATTGTTTTGAAAACCATGAATTCGACCTTGTTAATAAATATTAACTAAAGGTTTAAATGATAACGACATTTGTACTAGTGATAACAAGGGAAGGCCCTCTATTATTTAGAAAACGATTAATACCAATATTGTCTGTCGTTTACATGAGTAGTACACATTCAAAAACCACTTTTTAACGGTTAAAACGCGAAATGTATTAGCCCCGTCACCTCATGACAATGTATGTTGCAAAGCATCCGAAACATGAAGTCGTTAAAATAAATTGTAAATAGTTTAACTAATTTATTTTGCGTTCTAATCCTTCATTCAATATTCATAAGACATATGTTAACCATGAAGCTATTTGCTTAAAAGTCTGGTTTATTAAACAAATAAATTTAAAGCAAATACATTAAATACAGTTTAAACAATATATACTATGTTAAATAAGGTATTGTTATTTGTGACAAAGAGTTATAAACATATGTTTCGATTTAAACACTTGTAATGTAGGTATTAACTTGTACTTAAAAACACTAACAAGCAAAGCTCTACGACTAAAGCAAAATAATTGTGCAACTCCTTAAATTACTATAATACTGAATAGTACACGTTTAACGGTTTAAAACGCGAAATTTATTATTTTATTACTCCCGCTATGACCATGACTGCTATCAATCAACAGATATGATTCATGGTTAAAACTGATTTAACTAACATATATCGTGTTTTAAACCGTTGAAAGACTATGCATGATTATAAGGGTTACAGTTTGCTTTGGTACTTTGTGGTTTGGACGTTACTTCTAAATAGCTTTGCTGATTCGTGATTCATTAAAACCTTATAAGACTGACATACTTGTTATGTAAGTAAAAGTATGACTTTCGTCCTGCAACCAGCCCACGTGGAGAGTCAAAAATTGGAGTAAACAGTTAACTGGCCACTATTACTTAATCAGCAATTTAAGAATGGTCCAAGTTTAAAGTACTTTCTGTTTAAGATATATAATTCTCGGTCTGTCGGATGCAAACTGTGTATGGATAAGTTCGATTCTAAGTCAACATGTTTATAAAATTAAATATCTCAGACATGTTACTTTGTCTGAAGCTATTAGCACTAGCATATAAATTTTTCAAATTTTAGTCTATTTATTTAAATAGAAAACTTTAACGGGTTAAAACGCGATATATATTACTTAAACTTATTTGAAAATTATTTTTAACTTCGATCCGACGTTTCAGATGCTTTGCAGTCGTGATCGCGTGGGTTATGTAGTATTTAGACTAACAAATAACAAACACTTTTTTTACATCTGCATACAAACATAATGCATACATACCATTTTTATTTTTAAAGCAACATTTTAAAAAAATCAGCTAAAAATTTTTATTTATAACTAATTTTGCTTACTTGAGGAAGCTTGGACGCTTGGAAGAGATATCTATTTATCTATAAAGTTGCCGTTTGTCCTTAATTTCCATCAATTTTTATATATTTTTTTGTTGTTTTGTTTTGTGACAATAAAGAATATTTGTATTTGTATTAGTTAGACAAATAAAAAACAATTGAAAATCGATCACACATCTAAGATTTTACTTCATAAATGCAGTAATTGTCTCGCCATAAACCCTATTTTTTGAACTTAGCTAGTTATCAACGTAAAGAATGAATACGATGTCTGCAATACTGATATGAACAGTTGCATGTTGAAGTAGACCATACCCTTCCCAGTTAGGATTAAGATCTGTTGAGATTTAGCTATCATGAAGATGAGAAGATTGGTGACTACGGGATCAGCCCAAACCTCCCAGGCTGCTGAATAAATGTCCCAACTGAATTCTTCGCTTGTCTGGAAATTAAGATTTATTGGTGTGATATATTATATATTTGTTTAAATACCAACCTTAAGAGGGAGAGTCTAAAATATAACCGATAGATATTATGGATGTTAAATACTGTCTATAGTTTACGCGAGTAGTACACATTTAAATAAAACACTTTAACGGTTTAAAACGCGATATATTAGTTAAACTTATTTGAAAATGATTTTTAACTTCGGCCCGACGTTTCGGATGCTTTGCAGCAGCCGTGGTCACGGGGAGGTCAGTCTCCCTGTGACCGGCTGTATAATATATCGAGTTTTAATCCGTTAAAGTGTTTTATTTAAACCTATAACAATTAAAAACTATCAAGGAAACTGATATAGAAATGTGTCTGCAAGATACTTCAAATATCAAAAATAAAATTTCTTATAATTACATTTTTTAATTATATTAGAATTTCATTAACCAATATTGGCATGATCCGGACGAAATTTTTATACCCGTTTAATATCCGGAGTTCCAAGTGAAGTCCGAAAAAAACCGGTGGGGATTGAACCCATGAAAGTTGACTAGCAACATATTGACTACCATTATATCGACGAGCCCATGAATGTATAAAGCATAGTATAAAAACCGGATAGAGATATGCAAAGCATCATCAGCGAAATACATGAATGCAGCTGTTAAATTATTGCTATCTATGCAAATAAAGTGGTACCTTTGTCAAATCGCTCGCGAAATAACAAGGGGCGAACATATGAATAACACCACTTATCGCAAAAATGGTGTACTTGGGGTCGACGCGCCTGCTCAGGTATATCTGGTACAAGTTGAACGAAATCAACAATGATGTCAGCAGAAAAACAGCGAACAACCATCCACCATAGACTTCCTGCAAGTCTTTGTAGAAATCTAAGGCTTCCTGATGGTCTCTTATTGACTCTTTCACTCGTACCTCTAGTTCATCTCTATTCTTCGAATCTCTGAACGCGCAGTGAATTTTATGACTCACCAACTTCAGTTTCATACGAAGATGCGTCGTCGCAATGCAAAACGATCCATCTAAACCAGCGAAGTTTACAGATAGAACCACACACTGAACCAAGTTATACGCAAAAACCAGTTCAAAATATGGTGTCTCATATTGTCTGTCTTCGATGTACTTTAATTCCATCTCGTGAACCATATAGCGTTTGCCTTCACCGCTTGTTATAATATCATAAATCATACACCCGCTCGCGTATAAAGGAAATTGAGAACTCAATAATATTGGTATGAGAATCCAACAAGTTTGTCCGTGCATACCGATTTTTATATAATATTCATATATATCTTGATAGTCCTTATCCAGCTCGTTACCTTTGAGCATATCGTTAGAGATCTTATTTAGGAGTTTAGCGAAAATCTCCGTCTTATAGATGCCGTAGAAGGATTTGAAAAAGAAGAGTGTGGCGAGGATTCCGATAGTGATATTGTTAGCGAGGTTGATCATATCCAGGGTGATGAGGCATTTGTACAAGTACAAAAGGAACCAGTAGAGGATGGGACAGTTTATTGCGACAACGATAGAGAAATAGAAGAGTCTTTTACGCTTATTATAAATATTAGGATAGATGAGGGCAATGGCTAAGGCAAAGGCGCAGTGGATGAACGTGTCATTAAATGATTTAAATTTCGCAGCCATGATTTGAGTGACTTAGTTGCAAGCTCGACAAGGTTTGAAAGATAAATGCGTCAAGTTAAAAATATGAAGGCGTTTTCTAATGCGAAAGCATGGCAACATTAGGCGTAATCACGAGAAAATTGCTAAGCGTTTTAGGGCCATTATGGTGTGGCTAATGATAGCATCTGCTAATCCCATGCTAGCGTTGCATATGCATAAGTGGAGTGAATTAAACACGTTATTTCGCGTTCGTAAATTACTTGTTTCGCTTAAGTGGTTGATAATATTTTATGGGTCGTTTCGTTATTGTGATAAACTATATACTAATGATAAACGATTTAAAAATACTATTACATCGATATTAAAGATCTATATTCTATTTTTTGATTTTATTTATTATTTATAACCCAACCTACAGAAAAACATAATAAAACATATAAAACATCTTACGTACTAACCTGAAATTTATATATGTATTATATTTAACTAGGTGTTATACACGACGTCGCTCGCGTCTCGTCGCTCTTACAAGTTAATCTTATAAGATGGACATATACTGCCGTGGATATTTTAGATCACTTAAAGAGGAATTATTTCTTACATACTATTTGGTTTTTTTGAACCGTTGTCGCTGTTTTTTCTATGCTTGTACTTTTTCTTCGCTTCTATTGGATGAAGCGTGATGTTGTATAGCCTAAAGCCTTCCTCGATAAATGCTCTAACCAATTTTGCAATAAAACACACAAACAACAAACTCTTCAGCTTTTATATTAGTATAAATAGATATCAATAAAACTTGTTTTAAATAGTTTTATTTTAACCTGGTGTGTTATTGTTGGTATGGTTGTGTGCACTACGCACACAACCACACCTTTGGAGGAAAACCTTCTAAATATCTAAATAATAAATAAATAAATAATAAAATAAAACTAAAAAAGCTTTTTATTACCACACATATTTTACATGTTTTACGTTCCGTTTACAATTTATTCGTATTTGTCAAATGTTGTTTATGTCGGGTCCGCATTTTGCGGTAAAAGCCTCCTCCATACGCTTCCACTCCGTTCTGTTTGAAGCGCTTCGTTCCCAGAACATGCCTGCAGTTTCCTTATATTCGTCGTGCCACCTCCTGGACGGTCTACATTGTTTCCTTTTTACGCCTAATGGAGTCCAACTTGTGATAACCTGGGACCAACGGTTGTCCTTTACTCGTAGCAGGTGCCCAGTCCACGTCTATATAAACTTATAATAATGCTTTACAATTTAATTTTGACTTTCAATTCCTATGGAGATAAATAGATAGAATGAAATAATGTCAAATGTGTAGGTTTATATAAACAATAGAAGGTACAGTATAGACTATTAATCTTTATTCTATTTAAAATTAATTTTCCATTCCAACTATTGACTAAGAGAAGATTATTATGGCTGTTTTACTGACCTATGTTACACATTTGAGTTTTAATAAAAGCTGTTGTTGTGCTGTTGCTGTGAAACACATTAATTCAACTTAAGCTGTTGGCTGTTCCGTTCTTACGACATTCCAAATTTAAAAATTTAAGCTCTTAACGAGCTGTTTACGTTGCGCGTACCTACAGTGTTTCGAAATACTCCGCGTAACATGAATGAACTAAATGTGATCTGGTTTTGTCGCTTTTTGATTTTGATCCCGTGAGAGATTTTTCAACAGGATCCACTATCTAAGTGCTTAATGGCGTCGTATGCATTAAAAAACTAATTTGTGTTCATTAAAATTGCTTTAAGACTTGCAAATTGTCTACAGTAATTTATTACTTTAATTACATAGGTACTAATTTAAGTCTAGATATTACTTGACTTGGCATGTAAATATTGTCTGTAGTCATTAAATTTTAACACTTTTAATAGTTAAACTTATTTAACAAGACGTCGGGCCGTAGTTTAAATGAATTTTTAATAAGTTAACCAAACCGTTAAATCTGACATCGTTGGTGTGTTTTCTTAGGGACTGAAGCTGAATCTAAACTATCTATCTATTTGGCTTTGGATATTCGGATATCTACAGATTGAAACAGAAATGCGATTAAACCTGACGACATTTTCATCTGTCGACTTATGGTTCGCGATCCGGATATCCCAACTTCCAGACGCATGATGTTTCGCAAAAATTATAAATTGTTTAGAAAAAATTTGGACCTGATCCCCACGAAACTATGACCCGTTGATTATTAGCAACACATTGCTACCATATGCTACACCAATGAGGCTGTTTATTATATATATATACATACATACATATATATATATATATATATATATATATATATATATATATATATATATATATATATATATATATATATATACAACGTCCCTTTGCTTGTATGTCCTGTATAAGAACAGAATTGGAGTACGTAATTTTCAAGCCAAGATTCGATGAAATCCAGCTATTTTGTCCATTGTTTACACAAAACGTGTCGTTGTTAAAAAGTATTTAGCGTTTTGAAATCGTGTCATTGTACGGCGAAAAACAATGGACAAAGGTTTAATTTGATTCCGAGATAACAATTAAACATTGTTATGATTTTTGTGATAATGAACTTTGTTGTACCCGTGTGCTGGAATGTGAAAAGTAACACTCGGTAGCCGTGTGAAGACAATGCGATTAAAAATTAGTGATGTGAAATATTAAAAATAATAACCGGTTTTTATTTTGAGATAATTATCGTAGTTTTTGTACGTTATTTAGGTAATTTGAATCTTGCGCGTTATACTTTTGTATACCTCGTTGAATTTTCTTATAGCATGATTCGAATCTTGTTTAATGTTTTTATAATAATTGAAGCTTTATATTATTTGAACTGAGGTAATTATATTTTAATTGTCAAAATCTATTGGATTTAAAACCTAAGTGTTATTATTTTTGCTACATAGGCACCTGTATATAAAGCTGAAGAGTTTGTTTGTTTGAACGCGCAAATCCCAGGAATTACGTGTTCGAATTGAAAAATTACTTTTGCGTTGGTTAGAGCATTTATCGAGGAACGAAGGTACAGCGGGTAATGTGTACTAACGGGGGAAATTATTCATGATTACAGGTTTTCGAAGCGTACACTCCAAAAACGGTTCAAGATACCCAAAAAAATATCTATGAAAGAATGATTCCTCTTTAAATAATCAAAAAAACGTTCGCAACACTGTATGTCTATCTTTTAATATTAATTTGCAAGAACGGGACCCGAACGACAGGCCGTGGGCAGCTTATTTATAAAGATGTAGAGATTTGCAAAAGCTAATTGGGATGCCCTAAATAACTACTCTACGCGGAAGAAGTTGCTGACACAGCTAAGTGTTTAATAAAATTGTAAGCTCATTACCGGCTGCAATTAAGAAAATGTACCCACTACGATTTTCGTATTGACCCAGTAATTGTAGACTGCCTTGGTTTGCATTTCCCAAGTTCAGTAACGTAAAATAAAAAATTTGAAATCATAATTAATCCATATTTAAACATGTCGTACATGATACACATAATTGTGGTGCATACTGTCGAATTTTAATATGTTTTTCATTGATGAAATTGTCGTGTTTATGCTAACTTCGGCGCATGAGTCGAATTTAGTAAAGTTTGACCAAATGTAATAATAATAATAAAAAAAACACCTGATTGCACAAACTAATAAAATACACTTCTATTTGTGTTAAATTAATTATTTACATAAAAGAGTTAGTGCAGAGGCGGCCTTCTCGCCTATGGCGATTTCTTCCAGGCAACCTTTGAAGAAAACAAAAACAAATAACAATAAATGAGTACAAGGCAACAGAGAAAATAATAGAGAATATGCAATAAATGTTAACTGACAATTATATCAAATACTAACACAACAAAAATCGTTAACACACTAAACAGTAAAAAATTAAGATTAATTTGATCTTACTTAGCAACTTTATAAATAATAAAAGTATAAGCCAACAAAATCAAGACTGAAGAATACGTGTAAATTTTATTAACTAATATCAAGAATCCTGTCTATAGTTTACGCGAGTAGGACACATTTAAATAAAACACTTCAACTGTTTAAAACGAGATATATTAGTTAAACTTATTTGAAAACGATTTTTAATTTTGGCCCGACGTTTCATTAAGAAATTTGGACAGTATTCTCAACAATACGGAGGTAGTTATGAGTAGATTATCTTGTCTTAGTATGGAACTATGACGCCGGCGCGAACGCAGCTGATCCAATACATGTACAAAGATAAGCGCTACTAGATGGTGCATCCGCGCATTGCTAACATCGTACGTGTTACTCTTCAATAAATAGGTTACTTTTCAAGAATCCATCTAACGTCCACAGTTTAGGTCGGCTTTTATACTAAACATAACAAAACTTAAAATTACCTCACGATGATTGACAGTCGTGTGTAAATGTAAATACATTTACACACGACTGTCAATCATCGTGAGTTCCTAAATATCCAATCAACGGATCGTGCGTTCCTAAATATCCAAAGGGAAAAATGGGTCGACAACACATCTTGTTGAGACGTTGGATTATCTTTACTACCATTAAGTGAAACCCAGCTTTGTTTGTCCTCAAAAAAAATACACATTAGCATAAACTATACTTATTACTAAGAGTGAGTTCCTTGCCAATCCTTCTCAAGATTTTTTCGATTTGTCACAGTTCGGAGTTGTATTTAATTAGTGTAGGTGCCAGATTCTTTGTAAAAAATAAAATTGCGTTGAAAAAAACAAAAGTTTTATCTCTATGATATTGTTTTTTTTTTCTAATAAATTGTGAAATAGCAATAAGGAAATGATATCGTCTACAAGCAGCTCCATCTAGTGTCAAATTGGCACAATAAGTCAAGTTTACACGTGAGAGCTTTCTCAGGATACTCTACAATGCTACTTTGTCTCATAAAAAGTAGTGTAATCATTAAATACGCAGAACATATGATTACTTTAAGTGAAAGACTACTTTCGTCTGTCCCAATTCAGAGATTCACTATGACAGTGACAGAAAGCGTGTGATTCG